GCCCTAGCGGGCCCCCCGTGGTGGCCGGGGGTGGGCGCACAAGGAAGCCAATCAGCCAGCAGGGCTCCAGAAGGGGCTGAGCCCCCAAGTTCCATGTTTCTTAACCCCCAGGTTCTTGACTTTCTTCTGCGCCCTGTTTGGGAGCTAGGTTCGCATCAGGTACATTCTTTAGGGGAAGCCAAACTCTTGTCCCCACTTCCTCTGCGGACAGGGGCAACTTGACTCCTACTCAACTATTTTCTTTTGCCCTAACTCTGACCTCCCTTAGGATGCACCATGCAGGTATGAGAAAGTGTTCCAGCCCTGGCTAGGAGCGGAGGGTCCTGCATAGAGCCAGTTCCTGAAGTTCTCATATCCCCCTCTCTCCCCAGCCCTGGACTTGGTTCCACCCATGCCCCGTTGAAGCGGTGGAGGGTTAGACTCACCTACAACTCCCGTGAGAAATCGCGAGACACTTCGGTCTGTGGTCTCCCATCAGCCTCTGCTCCACCTCCCAGCAGCCCACATGTCCCCTAGGAGGAAACTTTTCGTGAATCTTTGATTTGTCATGATGAGGAAAATCCCTACTTATGCAAATAAATACAATAATTGAGTCATGTGATAGAGATTAGTTTACAGCCTGTAAAGTTTACCAAGCAAGCAAAGCTCCACAGTGCCTAGACTTGTGCAAGATCCCCCAGTGAGAAGAAGCGGGAAGGCACAAGAGATTTCTGCTCTGAGGGTGTGGTGGGGGAAGAGGACCACTCCGGTTTGCAGAGGAGTCAAGCTGCTGGCAGTGGCTGGTAGGGGCTCCCTTCCTCATAGATGTGCGCCTTCTAGCTCTGTCCTCACCAACTAGAAGGCGCAGGGCAGCTTTCTAGGGCCTCTTGTAAGGGTACCAACTCCATTTATGAGGTCTCCCCACGCCTTTTTTTTTTTCTTGTACTGAGGATTTTTAAATTTTAAGATAGGGTCTCAGATGCTAGATTTCCCTGGCTGGGTTGAATTTATGAGCCTCCTGCTTCAGCCTCCCAGAGTGGTGGTATGTGCCACCACCCTCAGCTCAGGGCTCCATCTTCTTGATCCATCTCATTGTCGCTCAAAGGCCCTGCCCACTAATACCATGCCTTAGGGACTTAGGATTTCAACATATGGCTTGGGGGAAGATACAGTCAGACCAAACCAGAAAGACCTGGGTCATGTAGCTTAATGTATGGGGTCAGGATTCAAACTCATATCACTGACTTCAGTGCTAAAGGTCCTAACAAGTAAACCATAGTGGGGGTGAAAATGGACCATAGCAAAGGGCTTGGAAAGCCAGTTCATTTGTCCTTTTTTTTTTTTTTTTTTTTTTTTTTTTTTTTTTTTGGTTTTTTGAGACAGGGCCTCACTATGTAGTTGAGACTGAACTGGAACTCACTGTGTAGCCCAGGCTGGTCTCAAACTCACAGCGATCCTCCTGCCTCAGCCTCTTGAGTGCTGGGATTACAGGCATGTACCACCACACCCAGCTTCAATTCATTTGTCCTTGACAACAACACGGGTCACTGGAGGTCAGGGAGCCATTTGACTTCACACAGCTCAAGTACCAGATTTTTTTGTTTGGTTTGTTTTTTGTTTGCTTCCTTTTGGAACCAGGGATCAAACTCAGGACCTCATGCTTGCCAGACAGGGGCTGTGCCACTGAGCTAAATCCCTGGCCCTGTCTGTTTTGAGGCAGGGCCTCACTATGTAGTCCAGGCCAGCCTTGAACTCACTGTGTGGCCCGGACTGGCCTCGAACTTGTGGCAATCCTGCCTCCCTCTCTGTGCTAGAAGGAGTTCACTGTCGTGGGGAGGGGTCAACCCAGGAACGGCAGTGCTGAGCTGAGTTACTGTAGTGTGTTCAGGTGAAGAAGCATGAGCACAGCCCGGCAGGATGTGGCACACTTGGAATCCCAGCACTCTGAGGGGGCTGAGGCAGGAGGATCCCAAGTTCAAACCCAGCCTAGATAATTTAGCAACTTGGTGAGATTCTGTTTTAAAATTTAAAAATAAAAATAGAAAAGGCCAGGGATTTAGCTCAGTGGCACCACACTTACTCACAAATGCAAGGCCCTGAGTTCGATTCTCTGTACCAGAAAAAAAAATTTTTAATTTAAAAGCTGGAGATGTAGCTCAGTATGGAGGCCCTGGGTTCAGTCTCCAGTTCCCCCCAAAAAGGCTAATCAAGAGTTGCATACTGCTAAAAGCTAAAAACAAGGAGATACTGATCCTAGGGAGCCTGGGAAGGTTTGGGTGGGGGCCCAGGGCCCCGCCTGCAGCAACATTGCAGCAGTTTCATTTGTTTCTGCTCAGTTCACAGATTCTGTCCGTGGCCACAGTGAATGGCATCTGGATTCCCGTGCTTTACTATGTGACTCGCCCACCTTCTTCAGACAGTCAGGGTGCCAGGACAGGGATGGCCATGCCTGCTTGCTCCCTGTACATGCCGCTCTCCTGGAAGCCTCTGTGTGAGCCTGGGGTCCCTGCCTGCTGGCTTCTGAGCCAAGCCTTAGGCTGAGGCTCCTGGCACAGTGGGCTCCAAGAAAACTACGGGGTGAAGCCCTAAGAACAGGACAAAGGTAGAGGGTGGCCTGGCTGGCTGGGGACAGTGAAGCCAAGGCTGGGACACAGGGGAGACAGACACGAGGAAGCAGTCACCACCAGAAAGCCCTGTCATGGGAAACTGTCCGGCCCTAGCACAGCCCTCTCTCCCCATAGGCTTAGGGTTGGCTGTGCTGATGTCCATATCTGTCTCTCACTTTTTATTTGTGTGCTTTGCTGGCTGGTTGGTTTTCTTGAGATAAGGACCCCTCGCGTCGTCCCAGCCAGCCTTGCCACTGTAGCCCGGGCTGGCACTGAACTCATGAGCTTCCCTCCTCAGCCGCCCAAGTGCTGGGATCACAAGTGTGCATCACCACATCCAGGCTGTAGCCACACTGCTAGAGACCATGGCTCCTGCCATTGAGAGGAGTCTGTTGCCAGGATTCAGCTAACAGAACACTGCAGGGCACCGTCTGAGCCTGGCCCGGGAGTGAAAGTGCAACTGTGCTTTTACCCATCGTGAGTGTGCAGCGGGACTCATTAACAAAGACAGGTTAGCAAGACAGAAACAACTCGTTAGCAATACATCACCCAGGAGGAAGAAAAGTAATTCAAAGAAGTGGCCTAGAAGTGCAGCCTATTTGGCATTTTCAAAAAGAACAGTGAAGGGCCAGGGATTTAGCTCAGTGGTTCCACCACCTGCTTCACAAATGCAAGGACGTGAGTTTGATCCCCAGTACAGAAACAAAACAAAACAAACAAACGAACAAAAAACCAGCAACTTGTAGAGGAAGGACAGGACAAAGGAACTCAGTGTCAGGCATCCAAGGGTGGTAGTGGTGGGAGGTGAAGTCATGAAAGGAGAAGATTGGTTTGAAGCTTCCCTGGGTGCCACTTCTGGATGGATAAGCGTTTAGAGTCATCCTGAGGAAAGAATTTATATCCTAGCTGGGCTGGGTGACACACGACTGCAATCCCAGTGTTCTGGGAGGCTGAGGCAGGGTGATGTAAATTCAATCCCCAGCCTGGGCAACTCAGTGACTTAGTGAGACTCTGCCTCAAAATACAAAATAAAAAGGAAGGATCAGGGGTATAACTCAGTGTGAAGTCCTTGGGTTCAGTCTTCAGTCACACACACACACACATAAAATCTCCTGCTATAGGCAGAAAAGAGAAAGGGTAAAGAAAGCTTTTCTCTGACATTTGCTGCTTTCTTAATTGCCTTGGGCTCAAAATTAATTTTTATGTCAAAGAGGTGTATTTGGGGATGATATATCTCAGGTTCCTTTAACCTTGCACACTTGTCCCTTCCTTGGGACCCCTGCCTCCACCACGAAAACCAGCTCAGGATGGAGCAGTGGACTGAACACCAGGCGAGGAGGGTCCAGTCACCCCATCGGCCCATCCTAGGCCAGCCGGCCCTCCCTGCACACTCGCTGACCAGCACCACCTCCCTGCCACATCTTAGGGGCCAGATCTAGTCACAGGGCAGAGGCTGGGACACAGACCCTTGGTGAGAGGAGTCTGGGGGCACATGAGTGTGTGTGTATGTGTGTGTGTGTGTGTGTAAAAGAATCAACTTGGCTTCGTGTGTTTTATTTTTGTACAACTTCTAGAACCAGTTTCATTTTCCAGTTTTGCAGATGTTCCAGCTGCCATTCACGTAACTTTCTAATCTTTAAGATCAATTGATATGAAAGATGAACAAGTCCCATTGAGTAACTCATTAAAAAAAATTCCTTAAGACAAAGAAACAGCTTTGTTTTTAAACTCCCAAAGCACAGTATTTCAACAGCAGCAGCCAACATAGGTCTAGCAGCTTAGCTTTACCCCATAAATGAGGCTTTGTATAAACCAGTTATTGTCCTGATGAGCAAGACTGGCTCAGACTGGAACTGCCCAGCTGAGGGTAGACTTTCAGAGCAGTTGGCACACTTAGCCTATTCAGGTCAATGCAGCGTCTCAGTACGTATCTCAGGCTGGCCTCAAACTCATGGTAATCCTCCTGCCTCAGCCTTTCAAGTGAAATTTTCCACATGAGATTAATTTTAACTACAGTATTCCAGTTATTGCAATAGATCCAACATATCATTTTAGCATGTAATCAATATATATTTCTGCTGATACATTTTACCCTTTAAAAAATTTTTTCAGACCATGTTTTTAAAATCCAATGTGCATTTTACGCTGATAGCTCATTTCAACTGGGACCAGGGCATTTCTGGAGCTCAGTGGCTCAACGTGGCCAGTGGCAATTGGACCAGTCGGGTTTAGTTATCTTTATCGTTTGTCCTGCCCTCTACCGACAGAGCTCGGTCATTACATTCAGTTTAGGCCGGAATCTGCCGCAGGTCCACCCTACTCAAGCGGTTCAGCGGAGTGATGACCCTCGTGCACAAAGAACACGAGCTGTTCCCTCTATCTTCGCAGGTTAGCTGCTTTGTATTTAATCGCCACCGTCACCAGCTGTTTCTTTTGCGAAACAAATTCTCTCTAGCAGAGCAGCTCCGACTTCTGTTAATGACTCTCTTCTAATCACATTCCTCAAGATCCAGAGCGCGGGCCAGGGATTTAGCTCAGGGGTTCCGCCGCCTGCCTCGCATGCGCAAGGACCCCGTATAAAAAAAAAGAAAGAAAAGAAAGATCCAGAGCGGAAGCCCTGGTAGCCTCCAGCGCTCTGCTGAAAGGCGCTGGACTAGCTGCCTACACGCCTCCGGTGACACCAGGTTCTTCCGCCACTTGAGTAGCCTGGGGGTCTAAGACTGGAGCCCCGCCGCCCTTCCTTTGTGTAGTTCTTTCCCAGTCTCCAAGAACACCACGCATGGGAGGAGGAGGCTCAGTGGCAGAGCGCTTCTTGCTTGCTGTAGGACCTGGATTCCATCCCTGGTACTGAAAGGGCCAAAACCAAAACAATTCGCTTGTTCCATCAACACAGTATGAATTGAACACCAGTCAGGCACCAGGCCACTGCTAGTGCTGGGGAGACAGCAGCAAACAAAACAGAAAGGCCAAGCGTGGCAGCACACTGTAATTCCAGCA